AAGTGGTAGGAAGATGATATCTTCAAGAGAAGGCAGCCAAACAGAGAGAAAAGAGACCAAGTGGGATAGGAAATCTGAACCCTGTGGTGTTAGATTTGAGTTAGAGATATTAGTAATAGTATGGTTTTCAGTATGTGTAGACAGCTAAGTATATAAGTAAATATAGATGTTAGTGAATGTGTGTGTATATATATATATACACACACATACATATACATATATAAATAGGTATGTACATATGTGTATTTATGCACACACATACAGACATACATACATGAACACATACATACATCCCCAAATCCACTTTCTAAGGATACTCTTGGGAACAATAATCTAGAAACAATGAATATACCTAGTACCCAAATCATATTTTCTGATTACCATTTTCTTCTGAAATTAACTAGAGCTTCTTAAACTTGAGCAGGGAAGGTACAAAATAAGTCTTTCTTTTTGTTTTAGAAAACAAAAAAGTACTCAAAGAATGTTCGGGACCTGTTAGGACACAGGAGAGAACCTGAAGAGGATCACCCTGCCCAAATCTGAGAAAACTGAACATTAACATAAATATTAAAGTAGTTTACTGAATAAAGTAGAAATATATGAATATAATGATAAAAATAAGCAAAAATATTGAAAGTTTCATGAGGAGCAGGAAATTTATGTAGTCAAAAATTGTCTCCCTACAAAATAATTACAAAGAAAGAATTTACAGTGAAATCTGATAGACACCACCTTAATTCAGTGATGAAAGTTAACATAAATAATGTAAAATTTGAATCACATGTCAACTTCTAAGAAGCAGGGAAATAAAATACCACCTCTATAATATTCCAGTCAAAGATGCATAACATGAATGAAGAAACAAACACTTCTTTAGGAACTTTCTACAGAAATAGCTAGCATATAGTCTTTAAAACTGTTGATTTCATAAAAGACAAGGAAAGATGAGGAAACTCATCCAGATTAAAGAACACTAAAGAGATATGACACCTAAAAGCAACACATGGGTGAAACTTTCAGGAGGTAAAATGTTTTTCTGAAAATTTGCTTCTCCTTAAAAACAATGTGGAACCAGGGAGTTGGATGCCAAAATGATATTTTTTGAGAAGTCTTGAAGTTAACCAGTGGTTCACCATAGCCTGAGAAGTGTTTATTAAAAATAGCTGGATCTTGGTAAGAAGAGTGAGCTCTGTGACATTTTAATATGCTCTATTCTTAATCTCCACTCTTCAGGACTGCAGAAAGCCTTAAAATCAGCAGCTTTGCAAATAAAGTAGCTGGGGAAACCACTGGCATGTCAGTCAGTGGAAGGGGCAGAATAGTTTAGAGCTTTCAAAGAGTCCCTTCCATCCAGAATTATAACCTTCTGACCTGTCTCTTAAGATGCCCATTCACAGGGATCATTATTTGATACACCTCACAGTTTACTCAGTGGGAAAAAACCCTATTCTCAAGGTATTTGTTCAAAATAGTAAGTGGCAATTGATTAACATAGCAGCTGACCAAAAGAAAAGAGAAACTCAGCACAGTAGCTAGAGATGTAAGAATGGATTAGGGAAGCATAAGGAGAAAAATATAATAGTATACATGTGCGTTGAATTGCTAACCCAAAACATATGTTTAAATTCTAGCCCTCAGTATCTGATTGTGACCTTATTTGGAAATAGGTCTTTACAGGCATAATCAAGTTAAAAAAATAACATCATACTGAATTGGGATGGAGCTTAAATCAAATTATTGACGTCCTTATAAAAAGAGAGAAATTTGGACACAGGTGCATACATAGAAGTAAAGTCTTGTGACAACACAGGAAGAAATAACAGTAATACAGCTGCAAGCTGAGGAGCACCAATGATTGCCTTTGCCCACCAGATGCTATCAGGAAACAATGATTATTTCTTAAGAGATTTGCAAGGGAACATGGCTGTGCTGATAGCTTGGTTACTGATTTCTACCCCCTAGAATTGTGAGAGAATAAGTTTGATTATTTTAAACAGAATTAAAACAGCTCCTGCCAGTTTGTTACAGCAGCCATAGGAAAACATTTGTAACAAACAAGAGGCTGGACAAAACTAAAGATCTGAAGAAAGAGATGTCTATAAGAGGCTTTGGAAAGTCTCAACATATTCCTGGGACTCTTATAAGGCACATGAAAAACTTTGAAATGCCCAGGAAAGATCTAAGAAGGCCCAAATTTCTCAACTCTGGGTGGGATTAAGGCCCTACAAAATTATGAAGTGAAGTCCAGGACAGGATTGTAAATCTCCTGAGTATTGAAGTCCTGCTCCAACGTACACTTAGAGTCCCTCCATAAAAGATGGGGAAGTTATTGACCTAATAATTAAGAGAAGTTTCTATTTAGTGGTAAGCTTATCACTAAGCTACTTGAACATAGTTAGGAGGTAATTCAGGGATTGATGGAAAATATGGATATTTTAGAATCAATCAAAGAAAGTAATTGAACAAACAGCAGGAACAATACACTACATGTGGCTATCAAGAAACAGATTTACATAGATGCCATACATCATTGAAAACAGCTAGATTTTGACATAACCATATAATCCTTGCAGAGAAACAAGAAAGCAATCATAGGAAAAAGTTTAAAACAGTAATAGAGAAAGAATCCTCAATAAAATGAATACCTGACATTTATTAGAAACTATGATGCAGTGAGATGACATAGGAAAAGTGTAAAGAGGAAAAGATTATGAAGCAGAAGTTCTAATTCTACACTTCTAAATTAAAAAAGAAATTAAGACATTTAAAAGTTAAGATATTTTAAAAATTTAAGACATTTAAAGAATTGAATTATCACTAGTAGATATGACCTACAGAAATATTAACACATGTCCTTTGGAGTGATATGAAAGGACACTAGCCAGTAACAAATGTACACAAAGAAATATAGAGCATTGGTTAAGGTACAAATGAATATAAAAGACATTATGGATTTTTTTTGCTTGCAACACCATTTCTTCTCTTACCTGATTTAAAAGATATTTGCATAATACAACAACCCCAAAACTATGATAATGACATTATGTTGTATAAATACATAACTTCATTGCCTATAAAAACACAACGAAGAAGATTATATGAGAAAAAATTATATATAATAATTGATAATATTTAATATATAAATATGTATTTTATATAATATATAAACTATATAATATTTAATGTGTAGAACATATAATAAATATATTGTATATATTTGATTTCTGTAAAACATTCTACCAAACAATATCAGAACACAAAATTCTTCTTGATCACTTACATATTTTTCATAATATACAAGTTAGGGGAAGACCAGAAAACAAGACTCAATAAATGTAAAAGGATTGGAACCGTATAAATTATGTTTTCTAACTCATGATGGAATTATATTAAAATAATACAGCAGGAATTTAGAGAAATTTGTAAATATGTGAAAATTAAGCAACATCATCCTAAATAACCAATGTATTGAAGGAAAAAAACACAAGGGAAATTTAAAAAATACTTTGAGATGAATGAAAAATGATAACATGCTGTGATCAAACTTGTTGAATGTCACTGAAGAAGTGCCCAGAGAGATATACTGAAAATTCATATATTGGAACAGAAAGATCTCAAATCAATAACCCAATTTTCTACTCTCAAGAAACTAGTAAAAGAAGGACAAAGTAAATCCAAAACAAGGATAAGAAACAAAGTAATAAAAATATTTGAAATATAGAGTAGAAATATAAGGGAAATCAATGAACCCAAGATTGAATTTTCAAAAAGATCAACAGAATGAATGGACTTTTAGTTAGATTGACTACTAATGCCTCCCCATCAAAAAGAAAAAAAAAAGGAAAAGGAAAATCCAAAATGGAAGAGAGAATATCACTAGCTATGAATACTATGAATAATTATATGCCAACAAATTAGATAACCTAGAAGTAAATATTAAAATATTCAGGGGCTACGAGTCATGGGTTTGAAAATTTACTCTTAAATGATTCAGGGGAAAAAAGAGTTATTTTTATGGTACTTTTAGCTTCTGTAAATACAAAATTATTTCAAAAAGAAATAAAGGAAAAAATGATATCATGCCAGGCTACTATTCCCTGTAAGCTTATTACTGTAAGAAAGAAAGAATATCAAAGTTCAAATAATAATGGTTTACCTCTAATCAGTGGCAAACATTCATTACATACACGTGTTTCAACACGTATGCCCATATGTGTTGTGATTTCAGATGTGGAGCAGTTTCACAACCATCCAAATTTGTGAGGCAGTTCAAGCACATGGCAAAAATTAAGAGTGAGTTACTGGAAATGATGAAGTCAAGGAGTTGAAATTCATTATCATGGGAGGAGTCGCACAAAAGGATTTAAATTGTGTAAGATGATGATGACAGGTTTTAGGATAGAGAGAAAGGTCATCAATTAGGTTCCAAGTCTTCATTGTAAGGAAATGAGTGGACAGGAAGCTAAATGATGAGTGTGGGAGTAGAAGTTTTTGAGCAAGAAAGGCAGGAACCTCAAAGATATTGATAAATAATAAAAAAGTGATAGTAGAGAAGGAATACAGAGGATGAACACTGACCCTAACTTCAAATAGGCTCAAGAGACCTGATATTTGGCTGGCTGTATTCTACCACAGAATCAACATTTTAAGGGAAGACTTCAGAGCTAGAAATGAAAGGATATTCAGTGCCACTTGGTCTGCAATTGCCATCTGTCAAGAAATCAAAGAAAAAAACCAAATAGTTTTCTTGATATACTAATAAGAGGAATAATAAGGAACAATAACCAAATAATTGACTGATACCCATTTATTCTTCACAAAGAATATTTAGAGCCCAAAACCCATAATACCATATGTTGCCTTATAAAATAATGACACATTCTCTGTTGTATGAAATAATAATACAAAAGCATCCAGCTTTAAGATAGTGTGTGTGTGTGTGTGTGTGTGTGTGTGTGTGTTATAGGTCAGTTAAGTTACAGATGAAGGTATTTTTTCAATCACTATATGCTCTATTCAATAGTTACCTTCTCTACTGAGAATTCATGTAGTAAAGAGGAAAACTATAACACTAAAACAGAGGTGAGCTGAGACATACTCTGATGAGTTGAGGAACATTTGGCAAGCCATTATTGATCCAATTTTTAGTTTCACTTAAGAAATGATAATTTTTAAAGTTCCTTCAAATGTTGCTAATTCTATTTCATTTATGATTTTACTTAAATGTAATTGCTTATAAACATATTTAGCATATGAAGCAAATTATCTATTACTCTATTCCTTTAATGTTAAAATACCAAATATAGACTTGTATTTAGAATAATGGGCTTATACATTGAGCTGTTTTAATTTTCTAGTAGATTATTTTATTTTTTGGTAATTTACTAATTTTGGTCCATCCTCCTTTGTATACATTATACACTCAAGTATATCAAAATAATTCTGTGAAAATATAGCATAAGCTTTTTCCTATTTTTGTTTTTCCCCATTACTGAACTTGTTTCTCTAGCTCTCTCCATGAGCTAACCCTTTTGCACTTTTAAATTCTTAGCACTTTAAAACTAGAATCAGAAATCTTGATACATCTACATAGTAATTTTTATTATGTCTTAATTTTTGTCACAGAAATGCTTCATTTTGATTACTCTCTAATAATACCAAATCATAACTTATTGATAGATTTTTTTATTTATCATTTCTTCCTTCTACTCTTAATTCTATGGAAAGCTGTTTACCATGTCTTTGTCAAGGGAGACTCTTGTTAAATTGTAATCATTCCAAGATGAACATGTATTGTGACTGCACATGCTTATTCAGAAGAAAAGGAAATGAATTGACAATCAAGTTTATCCATGAATTAAAAAGTGCACAAGCATCTACCAACTTTGAAAGAAACCCAGTTTACTTTTGCTTTAATGCACCCAGAAGATTTCAAATCAATACTTAGCATTAACGTTTTAATTGAGAATTAACATCACCATAATTGGAAGTGAGGATCAGCATCCTAATATTTAGGATAAGGTGATTTGGTTGCAGAGGTCATTACACTGGAGAGCACAAACATTGAAAAGGGAAAACACAAATCATTTGTTTCCTTGGGCAAGGGCACACAGAAAACACTTGAATTGGTGGTCAACTATAATTTGCTTCCAGAGCCAGAAACTCTGGAAACACTCCACTGTGGATTTATAGCAGAGCACACAAGTAGCAGTGACTTTGAAATCAAAGGATAAAAGAACAAAGGGAAAAGTTACCAGCTCTGAAAGATCTGTTCTATCACAGGGCTTAAGGGCTTTCCCATCAATCTAAAAGGAATAGGTACCTTGTGGCTATTCCCAGAAGACCCCAAATTTTGTTACAATTCCCAACATGCTCCTAAAATTATTCCTAAATAGTTACTTCTTGTGGAAGCCAAACATATTTGAATCTGGGTTATCAACAATCTTTTATTTTGACTGGGAAATTCAAATCAGTATGTTCTCAGCTGCACAATACAGACAGGTTTCCTTCCTATTTTGATAAAAAATAACCTTTAAAAATGTATTGTTTTCTATTTGCTTCCAGTGTCTTGAAATGTTCTGTTACTTCTCTAAATTCTCCAGAACATAAGAAAATACTGTCCTCCTCCTCACCCCTTACCACCCTGCCCACCAGTACCACACTAAGGCACTTCCACCTCATCCACCTTCTGGGAATGGGTGTGCTGTTCAGATTGAGTTCCTTGGTGGCATAGAGGAAATTTAAAGGGGGAATTTCTGTAGAACTCGCCATCCCACAAGTAAGTTTATCTTTTCCCTTTTCCTTGAAATGGCGAAAGGATGTTCACAAGGAGTGTCCATGACTTGTTTCCCTACGTGTTGCTAGAGCCAAGGGAGGACCCTGCCAGCGAGGGGCCCTCTGCTCTGTCCAGCACACCAGAGTTCCTGACCTTCACCCCATTGTCTGTGCAATGTGCAGAACCAGAAGGCAAAGTAGCGGTCTCAGCATCAGTCTCCTTGCCCCCCGGGGCCAAAGGCCCCTTCCTTGATGAGGACTGAGGGCTCTTGTGAAAGCAGAGTTTGAAAAGCCCCAGCACTGTCATAGTCAAGATCACCAAAACTACTACTGCTATGCTCACGAGTATGAAGACCACGGTGGATGAGGAGTCCAAAGAATGGGGAATGAGAGAGGAAGATGTGGAATTAAACGTGGGGGTCACGCTTCCTGATGGGGTGATGGTGGCCTTTGACTTGATTCCAGGGGACATTTGAAGGGTCGATGTGGTGCTCTGTGTTCCCCACTGAAGAATCTCAGAAACAGATGTTGCAGAACTGTCTTTTCCAGTGGCATGGGGTATCTCTCCTGGCTTCTCACGGACTGGAGGTGACGACGGTCTCTTTGGCACTGGGCTGCCTTCAGTGAACAGCTGGAGCCTGGTGAGCCCCGTGGTTCCCCCAGAGGTCGGCTGTCCTTCCCACTTTGTCACACAAGAGCGTCTGTCTTTCCCCAACTGGAAGCCTGCAGCACATTCACAGGCAAAGTTTCCCAAGGCATCTAGGCAGTTAGGGAGCTCTGAGCATCTGCCGGCACGGAGATACCTCCCGGGGCAGGGACAGAGCACCGCCCCAGTGGGGAGCCCTTCCCAATGAGCGCCATTCTCTTCCTCGACGCAGGTGGCTGAGATGGAGAGCTCCCCCGGGCAGCGTGCACTCACCTTGGTCCCAGGAGGACTGAAGTCCAAAGAGGAGCTGTACATCTGGAAGGGAGCGCGATAGCTCAAGTTAGACGCAGCCCCGGGGCGCGGCGCAGGGCACAAACTCTCAAACTTGTACTTGCACAGGTAGCCGTTGGCGCGCGAGTGGCAACGCATCTCCTTCCAGCCCGCGGGCTCCACCCCACCGGTGGCCTGGAGTCCCGCGCAACTCCGCACAGTACAAGAGAGTTGTGGCTCCTTCACCCACGGCAGCGTGTCATTTTCGGACTCTCCGGAGTCAGGGGACAACCAGGAGAAACCCCGCAATGGCTCGTTCTCCAGGGTGCAGTTGGAACGTCTGCGCTCCAAGGCGACCCAGAACAGAAGGTCTTTGGAGCCTCCTCCAGGCCCAGGGCCTGCCCTTAGGAGCGCGAGCACTGCACGCAGCTCAGCACCACCATGCACTGTGCTGAGAGACCCGCCGCGCAGGCTGCAGGCCTCCTCGGCCGCCAGCCGCTTGATGGTAGCGTGGTGTAGACTGTAGCAAGCCCCAGAGGCTGAGCAACCCGCGCGGTCGGCGGTAGGGTGCTCGCCACCACCAGGCCTGGGCCAGAACGCCTGACAGAGGAGACACAAGGCGAGAGCCGGCCTCATCGTGGAGACCCACTGCCCACCGCTGCTCCCAATTTAGATCTGCCCTGCCCCAGAGCGCAGAGAGTCTCTGGAGCGCGGTCACCGCCCCAGTCAGCTGGCTCCCCCCACCGGGTGACCCCTCCCCTCTCTTCTCCTCCGCCCCCCGTGCCCCAAATGCCAGAATCCCCACCAGAGTCCTTGAGGCCAACAGCTTCCCCTGGGCCGCGACAGGAAATGTGTCCATAGCTTAGCCAAGCCCGGTGCAGTCTGATTTATTCTGGGGTCAGGAACACAGCTGGCGCCTAAACCCTGGGAACACAGACCAGAAGGTCAAATGCCCTGTTTAGAGCAGGAGAAAAAGTTAAGTTGCTACTAGGTTGAAATGTATCGCTTTCCTTGCTCAGGGAATTTCTGGACCTGGATCCCAGAACACATTGGTGAACTTTGGCAGGAAGGACTGGAAAAAAGGCCCACGCCCGCGCATTGTGTTTCTGTCGGGATGGTGGAATTGGCGTCACAGTAATTTGCAGACGGCTCCAGTCTTCAGGTTTCCTGCTCGTGTAGGGAGATAAAAATCATGTGAGAAATCTTAGCATCTCCCCTCTACACCAGAGGCAGCACTATTTAACCGCAGATCTCTTCCAGGGGCTCTGCTTCTCTATTCTGTCAAAGGAAATCCAGTCGTCCTAATAGCTAGTCAAAGAATTTAAAATTCCTTCGGGTATTTTAAATGGGAAACACTTGCTTCTTAGGTCACCACTGGCCTTAAAAGTTTATTTTCACCCCCACCCCCTTTGAAATAGCCCATATTGGTTTATTCAGGAAAGGAAATCTATTTCTACACCTAAATGAAATATTAGAGCTATAGATCTTAACTGTTAGGTGGTTAGGCTTTCTTCAAGCTTATAGGTCAGGTACAAATGAGTTCTTGGACTTATTAATATTAGAAACAACTGCCCTATGTATGATTTTATTCTTGGAACTATTTTAATATCATTTTCTCCCATGACTAAGTATCAATATTTATACCAGTAAGTTGTAAAAGTCTCCTTTCAGAACATTAGAGTTCAACATCCTTAAAAATTTAAAATATGTACTACATTATGATTCATATTGTATGCTGTAAAATGATACTTTGTAATTTGAAAGATTATTGAATCAATTTCTTCAGAGTACCAAGAGGTGTCCTATTTTAATATAAATACCAATATTCACTTGGAAGAGGGGAAGAAAAGATAAAGGAAGGAAAGTTTCAGAATCTATATTTTCTGAATTTCTTGTTAGTAAACTTAGACAATTCAACATCATTTTAGAAAATATATCATTTTATCTTGACTAACAGTGACCAAATGTGTTGTAATCAGAAATCAGAGTTTCAACTAAGCACTCATAATGATGTATGATGGTTTTAAATATCCTTCAGAATGACAGTTCCCATTCCATGAACAATGAATACCACCACACACTTAGGCTCATTTTGTTAAACTGCTCTGGTTAATGATTGTTGAGAAAGGAGGTATCAGGCTCACATCTGCATGTTGCCATCTTATGTATTTATATATATATTTTATCATTCTTCTCACTTTCTGTTCGTCCCGGACATTGCATGTATTTTAACAAGCCATAGTAAACATCATGAATCATCATCCCACTTACCTTGCTCTTGCTGACTGTGGAGTTTCACAGCAGGATTTCTCTCCTACCCTTTTTGTTTCCCAATTTAAAGGACATTCATTAGTGCTTCACTTCAAATGTCTGAGACATCCAAACATGGTTTTGCATTTAAATTAAGTAACTTAATGTCTTATGAGAAAGAAACATGAAAATCCCCAAATCAAATTGAATGAATTTTGAAAATACTTGATCACTTGGGTTATCTCTATATGCCTGTGCAATCTATGACAGACAGTGCTTGGGTAAATGTGTCACTGCGGTGTGGCATATTTCGATAAAACCTTTTTCAAACTTAAGTAGTTCATGGAAATTCTTAGATATTTTAAAAATAATTTGGGATGAGATGAGGTTTCAAGAGTAAAAAGGATTGAATAACTGAAAAGTTTATAATAAATATATGATCTCACTCCCTGGCATTCTGCCTAGGTAGTGGCATATTACAAGGGAGGAACATATTGACCATAATGATTATACATCATAGTCTTGGCCATGCCTGAAGTGATGTGAGAGAAGAGTTTTAAAAAAAATTAGTTTGAAATAAGACACATATCATTTCCTAATTAATTAGTTTGTATTGATTCACATGCTACTAACATTTTGAAAAGTACAGTATCTGAAAATTTAGAAATGGAGAAAAGCTTTTATTTTTGAATAATACATTTATTAAGATTACAATAGGTTACCATTTTACTTTCATTCATGTCCAAATACTTCAAAATCTGATAATAAGAAGTGTGAATCTATAGGTTTTTCTTGTTATAGATGAGAGCAATTATATTGGAAAAATCTTGCCAGTTTTTCTTCTAATTGAATATTTACATACTCCGTACCTCACCACTTGCATGACCAAGTGTGAGTATGCATGTGTGTCTGTTTGTGTGGATGTTTATAGCAGTTCTGTTCATGTTAATGACTATCAGAATCTCTCAAATGCTCAGAAACAATAGAGAATAGACTGTGATACATTCATTCAATGAATATGACATAACCATCAAAATTAATGAAATGTAACCACAAGTAACAATATGAATTAATGTTAGCAACACAATGTTAAGTGACAAATTTCCAAAAAATCATATAGGCCATTCTTTTTTACAACATTAAAAATGCTAAATACTTATGTATAAAATATATATACTTTTTAAGAAGATAAAGTTGTACAATGGGATAAAAGGAATAATGGAGATAGGGTGATGGATGCTTTGGGCAGGAGACAAATGAGGGCAGATCAGTGAAATTTAAGCCAATTGTTAATCTGAAAGAACACATTAAATAAAATATTTCCTTACACTTCTAGAATTTTTAAATAATACAAATTATGTCTGATACTTATTTGTTCATACACTAGTACAAAGTCACTCAAAGAACTAGAGAGAATGTATAAGGAAAGCAGGTTCAGCCCGACATTTCAATTTAATTATTAATTTAGAATATCTGAGCAATTCAAGATGGAGAAAGAAATAATTTTCACAAATCACATGTAACCTGACAAATTTATAAAGTTTTTGATCCCCAATGAATAAACTCTATTATTGTTGAAAGGGAACAACATCTGGGTCTTAGTATATTTCTGAGTTCACTTAAGATATATAAAAATACTTGAGGAAATTGAAATGCAGGCAGCATTCCATCAGGGGAACATGGCATTCAGAAGTTAATCTGTAGAGACTAAGAATTGTGAGAGTCCATAGCCTTTTAGAACTGGACTGGACCTTAGCAAAATGACCTTTTTAACTGGTGAATTACAAGTGTTCATCTTGGTTTGCTTGACTTTTTTTTTTTTAAGTAGGTCCATAGAACTTTGAGTTCTTCAGGACCTAGTACTGGTTCTTTTTCTCTTTTAATGAATATTCTCTCTCCCAGGTAATTTCATTTCATGTCTTATGAGAAAGAAACATGAAAATCCCCAAATTAAATTGAATGCCATGGTTTTGGGTATCTTCTCTATGCCAGCAATGCCCAAACTTATACCTACTCCATTCTTCTTGAATGAGCTCTAAATTCATATATCCATCATCTATTTAATATTTTCATTTGTATGTGAGACAGAGAAGAGAAAAGAGCCAAAGTTACTATAAGAATCACAGCTGTGGGTGACTAGTATTCAGTCCCGCTGATAACTATCCAAGATTTATGCTAAATCCCAATTTAGCATGTCCTCCTAGAGGAGAAGAAGCTGGATTATTTATTTACCTAATATTGTCCCTCAAACAAGGAGCTCAACACCACATGGCTTTAGCTCTTTCCAGCAATCCCACAACATGGGGCCAGTCCACTGTGGTGTTCAGAAAACACCTGGAAGCATAGGATGCCCCGAAGATACCTGTGAGCAGAGAGGTATAACAGCATTCAAGATGGTTGGTTTCATAAACTTAGCCTTGCTTTATTCCCACCATCCTTTCGCTTTTGGTTTAAACATCCCCTCTCATAGCCCTGAAGTTTAGATCAGGTTTGTTGCTTTACTTGGTCTCTTTGTCTCTTGTACTTTTCTCCCTCACAGTAATAACACAAATGTAAGTATAGAGCTATTTGTGTGATTTAATACCAAGGTCATCAGACATCTTGCTACTCAAATACCAGCAACATTGGCAATAAAAGGCATATATTAGAAATGCTGAATCTCAGCCCTGCCCAGACACACTGAAGCAGAATTTGCTTATTAACAAATTCCTCCTTGATTTGTGTGCACATGGGTAGTTTTGAGGAAACTAGATTGTATTTTTTTGAGAGCAGTGATTGTCTTCTTTGGCATTTATTCTAGGTCCCTAATGATGAATGTATTTGGAATACAGTTAGCACTCAGGAAATAACAGTTGATTGGACACATGATGCACATGCATGCAGGCACACACATATAAAGTACACACAATATAATAAAGTGCCATTTAGAACAATGCAATAATTAAATACATAGAATTTTCTAGCTTTTCGTCAAGAATCAGATCATAATTCCATGGGGTCAGCAACGATCTAGGCCCACTGGCTAGTATATCTTCTAATAAATTGACCTGAAGTACTACTTCAAGACCTGTTGTGGAGAAACTTCCATTATAACAAAGTGTGCAGCATTTTTATTTAGGTTTTTGGACAGCTTGCCATGGCTGATCCAGCAGTAGCTTCATGTTATGATCTGTTTGGGGAGGATTTGTATTGTGTGTTTGGTCATGCCATGAGTTCAGATGTGTGCTTTTTTTGTTGGTGTCTGTAGAATTTCCACTTCACAGAACTGGAAAAAGAAGAGAAAAAAAATTATAGCTACTTCAATTCAAATCCTATTAGGCTTATCTGTTATCACTTTGTAAGTACTAGGGATAATCAGCAGTTACCTTAGCATTTACCTTGTAGAGTCATGGAACTTCACAATTATTGTTAGCTACCCTTAATAGCTGGCTCATTTTAAGATCTATGTATGTGACAAATTCATACACC